CTAACTAAGCTCTGCCCACTTTCTCCCAGCCAATCACAAAGGCTCTCCACATTTCCCTCTAGGCTGCTCCTAAGCCCCGCCCCCTCTAGGAAATGACTACTCTAAGATGGCTGCCTCCCTGCACCATCTCACAAAATGGCTGGCGAAATACTTGAGCCTACTTCCTGAGCTTTTCCCTGGCCTAAAAGGTAGGCAATTCATCACAGTGACCAAAATGATTGAAGACTTTTTTTTCACAAAGGTGGTTTTGGGACCGTTCGGGAACTATATATTACAAATTAATGTTTTTTGGTTTCAAGATTTAGTGTAACCCCGATCATTCTTCCATCTTGATTTTTGAAGGCCAATTCTGCTGGTATTTTTTTTATTTACAGGTGTAGCGGGTTAAACCATTGATCTGCTGTACTTGCTAACCAAAAGGTTGGCAGTTTGAATCCAGGGAGTGGGGTGAGCTTCCGCTATTGGCCCCAGCTTCTGCCAACCTAGCAGGTCGAAAACATGCAAATGTGAGTAGACAAATAGCTACCGCTTCTGTGGGAAGATAATGACGCTCCATGCAATCATGCTGGCTTTGGAGGTGTCTATGGACAAATCTGGCTCTTTGGCTTAGAAATTGAGATGAGCACCACTCCCCAGAGTCAGACACGACTAAATGTAATGTCAAGGGAAACCTTTACTTTTACCATCCATCTTTTTTTTCAGCTGAAGAAAAATAATTCTTTACCTATATTCTTCTGGACCAAATGTGCAACATGTTTTTGTGAAATGTGGGTTTCTTGTATGGCCACAATATTGTATCTTTTTAATTTGGTTGAATCATTTATTTCGTTTATTGTGTGAATTAAGCCCATTTACATTACTTGAGTAGCATCTGATTTCCATATTTCTATTCTTCAAAATCTTCCGCTTTTCAACCTGTAGATTCCAGATGTTTTGGCCTTCAATTGGTAAACTGGCTGGGATTTCTGGGAGTTGTAGGCCAAAACACCTGGGGACCCACAGGTTGAGAACACTGCTCTAGGGTGTCCAGGTTTGTCGGGATCATTTAAGTAGGCAAATCGGTCTTTTCTGGAGATTTTGTCCTTAGTCTTTTCTTTTCCTTAAATTTCTTTGGATCTGTTGGTTTGGTGCTTTCAAGGTCCTTTTTCAACTTTTTGTAACATTCCTTTGCTTTATCCTCTGATGTCAGCCAGTACTTTTCTTCTTTGTAAGTTACCATGATGCCTTCTCTCCTCTCCCATCTAAACCTTATCTGGTGTTTCTTTAGTTCTTCCATTAGAAGCATGTATTTTCTTCTTTTGATAAGCGTTGGGGTTGGAAATTCTGTTAAGATTGATTCCATTAACAGAAAGAGATTATGGGGAAAGCTCTGGAATTCTGATATTGCTCGTAGACTATTAAGACTGAGGCAGGAACTTTCTCCATAATTTCTTTCTGTTAATGGAATAAATCTTAAAATAATTTCCAACCTCGATGCTTATTAAAAGAGAAGGGAAACCTTTACCTTTACCATCCATTTTTTTCAGCTGAAGACGAATAGAATTCTTTACCTATATTCTTCTGGGCCAAATGTGCAACATGTTGTGAAACGTGGGTTTCTTGTAAGGCTATAATATCGTTTGTAAGGCTATAATATTGTATCTATTCCAGAATTCCTAACAGCCTCAGGCCCCTTCCTTTCCCCCCTCAGCCACATAAGTGCCTGAGGCTGTTAGGAATTGTGAGAGTTGAAGTCCAACTAACACCAGGAGGGCCAAAGTTTGTCCATGCCCGATCTATATGAATGATTTAGTGCCTTGTTTGAATGATTTGGTGCCTCTATATCAGCGTTTCTCAACCTTCCAAATGCCACAACCCCTTAATGCAGTTCTCATGTTGTGGTGACCCCCAACCATAACATTATGTCCATTGCTACTTCATAACTGTAATTTTGTTCCTGTTGTGAACCGTAATGTAAATATCTGATATGCAGGATTTATTTTCATTCACTGGACGAAACTTGGTACAAATACCTGATATGCCCAAATCTGAATATTAGTGGGGTTGGGGGGGGGGGGGAGATTGATTTTGTCATTTGGGAGTTGTAGTTGCTGGGATTTATAGTTAACCTACAATCAAAAAGCACTCAGAACTCCACCAACGATGAAATTGAACCAAACTTGGCACACAGAACTCCCACAACAAACAGAAAATACTGGAAGGGTTTGATGAGCATTGATGTTGAGTTTGGGAGCTGTAGTTCACCTACATACAGAGAGCACTGTGGAGTCAAACAATGATGGATCTGGACCAAATTAGGCATGAATACGCAATATGCCCAAATGTGAACACTGGTTGAGTTTGGGAAAAATAGACCTTGACACTTGGCAGTTGTGGTTGCTGGGATTTATAGTTCATCTACATTCAAAGAATATTCTGAACCCCAAACTTCCCACAGAGAAGCCCCACGACCAACAGAAAATACTGTGTTTTCTGGTGGTCTTTGGCGACCCCTCTGATACCCCCTCGCGACCTTCCCAGGGGACCCGACCCCCAGGTTGAGAAATGCTATATGAATGATTTAGTGCCTCTCCTTCACCAGTAATCAGCAACAGAAAGATTTTAATCCTTATGTGTGCAGATGATATAGCACTTTTCTCCCTCACTTGGTTGGGTCTTTAAAATCTCCTGAAGACTCTTAGGACCTATTGCCAAGAGGAAAATCTGTCAATAAATTACTCCAATATCAAGGTTATGGTTTTTGGCAGACACTGCGCCAGGTATAAATGCCATAGAACAAACCCATATGTTCAAATATCTGTTCAAACGGTTCTGGCCCAACTTACCTGTCTGAACGCATCTTCCCTTCTGGACCTTCCAGCACTTTAAGATCGTCCAGGGAGGCCCTGCTCTCGATCGCGCCTGTGTCACAAACACATTTGGTGGGGACAAGAGACAGGGCCTTCTCAGTGGTGGCCCCTCAGCTATGGAACGTCCTTCCTGGGGGACATTAGATCAACCCCCTCCCTCTTAACATTTCGGAAGAGAGTCAAGACTTGGTTGTTTGAGCAAGCGTTTGAAAATGCAAGGTAAAAGACATAGGAATCGGAATGACTGGACGACGTGATGGGAAAATGTTTTTATTAGGAGACGCAAATGTATGCTTTTCGTATTCTTGTTATGGTTTTATATTATGTGTTAATGTTTTATGGTATTTTGGGGCATCAAATCGTTGCCATTACTCTCGATCCCACCTGCTTCGCAAGCACGTCTGGCGGGGACGAGAGATAGGGCCTTCTCAGTGGTGGCCCCTCGTCTGTGGAACTCCCTGCCTAGGGACATTCAATCAGCCCCCTCCCTCCTGACTTTTCGGAAAAGAGTAAAAACTTGGCTCTTCGAGCAAGCATTTGGAACCTCCGAATAAATAGACAAACTTGGATCGGAAAATGACCCAGGAACGGCCCAAGACGATGGAACAGATAAGGACTTGAATGAGAGGATATAGTTTTTAGTTTTTAATATTGTTATTATGCACTGTCTTATGTCTAATTGCACTATAATGGTTCTTTTTGTTTATCTATGTATGCATTTTTATGGCGTCGAATTGTGCCGATTGTGTACGCCGCTCTGAGTCTCCTCCGGGCTGATATGAGCGGGGTAGAAATAATGCAAATCTATATCAATAAAAATGTAATGTTCGTTGGTGGGATTAACAGAACTCAAAAACCACTGGACGAATTGACACGAAATTTGGACACAGGACACCTAACAACCCAATGTATGTCCTTCACTCAAAAAAAATTGATTTTGTCATTTGGGAGTTGTAGTTGCTGGGATTTATAGTTCACCTACAATCAAAGAGCATTCTGAACCCCACCAATGATGGAATTGAACCAAACTTGGCACACAGAACTCCCATGACCAACACAAAGTATTGGAAGGGTTTGGTGGGCAGTGTCCTTTGGTTTTGGAGTTGTAGTTCACCCACATCCAGAGAGCACTGTGGACTCAAACAATAAATATCATTAGAATCATAGAATCAAAGAGTTGGAAGAGACCTCATGGGCCATCCAGTCCAACCCCATTCTGCCAAGAAGCAGGAATATTGCATTCAAATCACCCCTGACAGATGGCCATCCAGCCTCTGTTTAAAAGCTTCCAAAGAAGGAGCCTCCACCACACTCCGGGGCAGAGAGTTCCACTGCCGAACGGCTCTCACAGTCAGGAAGTTCTTCCTCATGTTCAGATGGAATCTCCTCTCTTGTAGTTTGAAGCCATTGTTCCATTGCGTCCTAGTCTCCAGGGAAGCAAAAAACAAGCTTGCTCCCTCCTCCCTGTGGCTTCCTCTCACATATTTACACATGGCTATCATATCTCCTCTCAGCCTTCTCTTCTTCAGGCTAAACATGCCCAGTTCCCTAAGCCGCTCCTCATAGGGCTTGTTCTCCAGACCCTTGATCATTTTAGTCACCCTCTCTGGACACATTCCAGCTTGTCAATATCTCTCTTGAATTGTGGTGCCCAGAATTGGACACAATATTCCAGATGTGGTCTAACCAAAGCAGAATAGAGGGGTAGCATTACTTCCTTAGATCTAGACACTATGCTCCTATTGATGCAGGCCAAAATGATGGATCTGGACCAAATTTGGCACGAATATTCCATATGCCCAAATATGAACATAGATGGAGTTTGGGGGAAATAGACCCTGACATTTGGGAGTTGCAGTTACTGGGATTTATAGTTCACATACAATCAAAGAGCATTCTGAACCCCACCAACGATAGAATTGGAGCAAACTTCCCACACAGAACCCCTATGACCAATAGAAAATACTTAAGGTCATCCAGTCCAACTCCCTTCACCAGGGCAAGAAAATACTGTTTACCCATAAGCATAAAGAACTTACATATATTAGAAACCAACACTTTCTCATTACTTTATTTTCCAGATCACCAGACTGGGCCACAGCAACGCGGTGCAGGGGACAGCTAGTAAATAAATATGTAAATACCTGGAAATTATTTTAGTGAATTTAATGCTTTAAAAGTATTCATGACCATCTTGAATGCTCAAAGTACCAGGAAACCTTTTATTTTCTCAGATGCTGCTACAAAACAAGCAACCCAGGAGCAACCCCCAAAACAGTCTCACTCCGGCTGCCCCTGCGTTGGTCCTGGGTGCTCTTCCTCTCCAAATACCTCTTCGTGGACATCCGAGGATACAGGAGAGGAAGGACAGACCCACCCAGAAGGGGAGAACTTCTTCTTTAGCACCGGCAGGGAGCTGGCACAAGTAGGCTCCGCATGAGAGCAAAGGGGCCACGGAGTGTCGTTCGAGAGAAGGGTCACGCAAGGCACTTGTGGGACAGAGGCACACCAATGAGGGGAGGGATGGGCAGCCGCTCAGGGCTCGGAGGTCCGGCTCATGCAGGGCAGGGCGGGCACCCTCCAGCGGCGACCTCCATGCAAGCGCAGCGCCAGCCACTCTTGCTGCGTGGAGCTGAGGTAGGTCTCAGGGCTGCAGCCGGACCCTTGCATGCGGCTCAGCAAGTCCCCCGCCGCTCCGGCCACCGCCACCGGTGGGGGCTCCAGAGCGGCCCCTGGGCGAGGAACAGGCAACCCTTCCAGGCTCTGCAGGCTGTTGAGGCTGCCTGGGCCGCCGTCCTGGGTGCGGATCCCATCTGAGGAGCCTGTGGAAGAGGGAGAGAGGAATGGTGGCTGTGATTGGGGAAATGGTGCCACAGAGCCTGCCAGGATCAGCACTGTTTTCCGCTTGTCATAAGTAGCCCACCTGCTACTTATACTCGCAAGGGGAGAGTGGGCGGGGCCCAACCACCAAAGTTTTTCAAATCTATCTAGAACAGTAGTTCTCAACCCTTCTAATGCCAAGACCCCTTAGTATAGGTCCTCCTGTTGTGGTGACCCCCATCCATAACATTATTTTCGCTGCTACCTCATAATCTTCATTTTGCTACTGTTATGAATTGCAATGTAAATATCTAATATGAAAGATGTATTTTCCTGATACGCCCACATTTGAATATTGGTGGGATTGGAGGGGGGATTGATTTTGTCATTTGGGAGATGCAGTTGCTGGGATTTATAGTTCACCTACAATCCAAGAGCATTCTGAACTCCATCAACATTGATTTTGTCATTTAGGAGTTGTAGTTGCTGGGATTTGTAGTTCACCTACAATCCAAGAGCATTCGGAACTCCATCAACATTGATTTTGTCATTTGGGAGTTGTAGTTGCTGGGATTTATAGTTCACCTACAATCCAAGAGCATTCTGAACTCCATCAACATTGATTTTGTCATTTAGGAGTTGTAGTTGCTGGGATTTGTAGTTCACCTACAATCCAAGAGCATTCTGAACTCCATCAACATTGATTTTGTCATTTTGGAGTTGTAGTTGCTGGGATTTGTAGTTCACCTACAATCCAAGAGCATTCTGAACTCCATCAACAATGGAATTGAACCAAACTTAGCAAATAGGACTCCCATGACCAAGAGAAGATACTGGAAGGGTTTGGTGGGCATTGATCCTTGAGTTTGGAAGTTGTAGTTCACCTACATCTAGAGAGCATTGTGGACTCAAACAATGATAGATCTGGACCATGTCAGAGTTTTATATTGTTTAGACCATTTCTTAAGAGAAAAATGGGTAAGTGATTGTAAGAATCACGTCCAGTCATTGTATGACCGGCAACAGTCAAGCCACCTGTGAAAGCTTAGCTATTACAAATTGAGAAACTGAGAATGTAGAGAGTAGAGAAGAGATAGAGAAGAGAATGAGCAGAGAATGCTGATGGTGATGATGAGACTGTGAAGAAAGCAAGAGCTAGAGGAAGAGGAATAGATTCCTGTAAAAGCTTAAGGAAGGTTTGCTGGAATATTTGGATCAATGGATTGAAACTGTTATTTGTGACTGTTGCATAAACATTTACTTTATTGGAAGAAAGTTTGTCTTCTGTGGATTGTATTATTCTTCTCAACGGGGCGCAGCTTCCGAGAAGGGGGTTTGAATGCTTGAAATCAACCCCAACTATAAAGCAGCAACACCATAGCTGCGACAGACCAAACTTGGCACGAATACTCAATATGCCCAAATGTGAACACTGGTGGAGTTTGGGGGAAATAGATCTTGACATTTGGGAGTTGTATTTGCTAGGATTTATAGTTCACCTGCCATCAAAGAGCATTCTGAACTTCACCAACGATTGAATTGAACTAAACTTGGCATACAAGACTCCCATGACCAACAGAAAATACTGGAGACACTTGCGGAAAATAGACCCTGACATTTGAGAGTTGCAGTTGCTTGGGAATATAGTTCTCATGTCATTAAAGAGTATTCTGAACTCCGACAATCATGGAATTAATCCAAACTTGGCATATAGAACTCCCATGACCAGCATAAAATACTGGAGAAGTTTGGGGAAAATATACATACCTTGACATTTGGGAGTTGCTGTTGCTTGGTGCATTCTGGAGTCTGGGCCTAGATCCGGCAGGGAGGGAGGCTCGTGCCTCTGGCAAGCCCAGCAGGCGGTGAGAGCCAGGCACAGGAGGATCCCCTACGCGGCCTGACCTTACACGGAGCCTCTTGCTGCCGGCCAGCGGGAGAGCGATTGAGGCGAGGGAGGCCTTGCACAAAGCGGTCCTCGCCTGACCCGCTCTCCTGCTGGCCGGTGAAGGAGCTGACCTGGAAAGCCAGCACCCATTTTGAGGAGGCGGAGGGGGCGCCTTTGTGACCCCTAGAAAATGGCCCAGCGACCCCCCTGGGGGTCGCAACCCCCAGGTTGAGAACCGCTGATCTAGAAGGTTCCGAAGCTGTCTGCTCAGGCGCAGAAACTACCATACGTGCGATTCACAGTTGACCACGATGGGAAAGAGGGAGAGAGGAATAGTGGCTGTGATTGGGGAAATGGTGCAACAGGACCTGCCAGGTTCCACACCATTTTCCGCTTGTCACCCTCTCATCCACAAAACCAGCTCAAGTGTCAAAGCCAGGGAAAGGAGCAGAGGCATTGTATGCTCAGAGACACCCTTTCTCCAGCCCTTCCTCATGTGGCATAGGATGTTTTCCCAAGTGAACCAGCCGTGTCTATCAAGAGCTGCATAAGCTCCGCCTGCCTGAGAGTGAGGGGATCTGTCACTCCAGGGAGACTATATGACACAGTTATCAATCTGAATCAGGACAGAGAACCCGGGAGGCCTGGCATCCTCTGTTGAAGTGGTTTGCAATGTGTAATGTAGATTTCAAAGTATGTATGTATGTTAAAAATGTAATGCTATGTGCCGAGTGTATTTCCTGTGTGGAAAGAGTTCACTGTACCATGGAGGGAGTGGCATTCCTAGAGAGGTCATAAATCAAAGTGTATAGAGAAATTGATGCAGCGTCGTGCGTTGTATGTTATACGTCACTCTGGAATGCAGGAGGTGTGGACTAGTACTGATAACAGCGTGTTCTGTGTGTTCGCGATGTAGCTACCGGACGGAGAGGAAGCAGTTTTATGATGTGCTTAGTGTATTAAGTAGCTTTTAATGTTTATAGCTATAAATAAAGTAGTTTATAGCCTAAAGGTGACGGTGATGATCGTGTTTCCTTGCCTTGCTGTGCGGCGATGCCACTGACATCCTCCCCATTAGTCAGCTGGCCTCCTCCTCTTTGAATGTGGATTTAGGCTGAGCCAGGATGCAGCCGCTGCAGTTTAGCACCCAGAAGCCTTCCTAGCTGATCGGGATCCACTTGTGCAAAACACACCCTGCTGGGAGGGGAAGGAGAGAGGAAGGTCCACTCACAGCACTTGTGGAAGGCCCCCCAGGTGTTGGAGGGCAGGGGGGCCTTGCTGGGCTGCTGGAGGAGGCAGGCGATGGCATTGTCCGTCTGCTGGAAGACGCGGAGAGAGAGCACCCGCTGCCGGATCTCGGGGGAGAGTCCGTAGTCCTCCGACTGCAGCAGCTCCCGCACCAGGTCAAAGTCCTGCTTCAGCTGAAGCGCCCCCTGCAGACTGGGGGGTGGGGGGGGGCAGAAAGAAAGAAAGAAAGGCCACTGGTCAGATGGAGAGGAACCCTCTGGCCCGCATGCAAAAGCTCCCTCACCGGTCTCTGGAGCTGGGAACTCACCTGAACTTGATCTTCTGGGCCAGGATATGGTCCATCCAAGCCTCCAGGAAGGCTGTGGTGACCTGGCTGAGGGCCGGCCCCTGGGCCTCGTGGGGAAGAAGCTGGATCCCCTGCAGCACCTGGCCCAGCACCGTCTGAGCAGCGGCTGAGGCGTACTCGCTGGGGGAGGCGGGCAGCTCTGTGAGGAGAAGGGTAGGATGAACCTGGGGGACCACGTGGCATCCAGAACCCCATCTTTCCTCCCCCTCCCCAAGGTTGGCCAATGGCCGTGTCATGTATCATGTTTTGCAGTTGAAGAATAGGGCTCTACAGCCACCTACGGACCCACCCCCTGGATACCACTCTTGGAGAACCATCATCCTCGGACTACAAGGGATCGCCTAAGTAAGTAAGTAAGGTGGTTGGTGGTGGCAGGCTTAGCAGTTAGTGATAGAAGGGGTTAATGTAAGTCTTAGTTCTAAAGGGCTGAGTAATCTGTAAGTAAGATTTTATGGGTGAAAGCAATTAAGAGTCAAGACATGCAAAAGATAGCTCACAGCTGAGTTTTGCTGGTTATAAAGAGCTAGCCTGGGGACTGATCTTTCGGAGAAAAGTATTTGTCTAATTTGGTGGTAGATACTGCTGTTTTTTTCTCCCAAGTTTGTGGATTTTCAGTATCTTGACCTGTCTCCTGAACTCTTGGAACCCTGGAATACTATAAAAACAGCCAGATAGTAAGTGCTGTTTTAATTAAACAGTTTAACACAAGATGGGTGTTTGTTTTGGTTCACCTCTGCCTGCATACCGGCAGAGCCTTGGCATCGAGACAGGGATCTCCTTTTCCGTTTGGAACTGGGATGTGCCTGATGGCTGCCACTGAGAGAGGGGGGACGTTAGCAGTCAACTACAGAGGCTTTGGGTGGCACAAGCTAGTCCTCCTGGACTTCAACTCCCACAATTATGAAAACAACTATGAAAACAGCCAGACAGTAAGAGCTGCTTTAATTAAACAGTTTAACACAAGCTGGGTGTTTGTTTTGGTTCACCTCTGCCTGCTTACTGGCAGAGCCTTGGCATCGAGACAGGGAGCTCTTTTTCCATTTGGAATTGGGATGTGCCTGATGGCTGCCACTAATAGAGGGGGGACATTAGCAGTCAACTACAGAGGCCTTGGGTGGCACAAGCTAGCTGTGTCCTTAGGGAAAAGCCTCAGCCGCCCTGAGGAAATTGATCATTTGATGCATGGGCAAACTTGGGACCTCCAGGTGTTTTGGACTTCTAACTGATAGGAATTGTGGGAGTTGGAAGTCTAAAACACCTAGAACGTCCAACTTTGCCCTTGCCTGTTCTAGTGGGTTATCCAGCACCAGAAATGGGCACTGCTTTAAGATGATAGAAACACAGAGTTGGGAGTTCAAGGATCACCTAGTCCCGTGGTGGTGAACCTATGACACGTGTGTCACCATTTTTGGTGACACACGGCTGCATGTGGCCATGTACAGAGAAGTATGGGGCTGCATGCCGAAAAGGACATGTCATCCTCGGATCCTGCATGCCCAGGTGCAGTAGCTGAGGATGAAACATTTGCTATAGTGTAGTGTAGTGAGGAGACAGCAAAGCCTAGAGAAGACAAAAGGAAGAGGGGCCGACCAAGGACAAGATGGATGGATGGCATCCTTGAAGTGACTGGACTGACCTTGAAGGAGCTGGGGGTGGTGACGGCCGACAGGGAACTCTGGTGTGGGCTGGTCCATGAGGTCACGAAGAGTCGGAGGTGACTGAACGAATGAACAACAACAAAGTGTAGACACTCTGTACTGGAGAGCTGTAGGCCAAAACAACAGAACTCAGGCACAGAGCGTCTTTCTCAAAAGACAGTTTCATGTGCCATATTGTGGTCAGTATTGTGAAGGGCTAACAGGCTTTCGATAATTCTGTCTTTTGTCCTAAACGGTTCCGGCCCAAGCTACCTATCTGACCGCATCTCTGCCTATGAACCCACCAGGAGTTTGAGATCTTCCGGGGAGACCCTGCTCTCGATCCCGCCTGCTTCTCAAGCTCGGCTGGCGGGGACGAGAGATAGGGCCTTCTCGGTGGTGGCTCCTCGGCTGTGGAACGCCCTTCCTACGGACATTAGACTAGCACCATCTCTAATGGTATTCCGTAGAAAGGTGAAGACCTGGATGTTTGTGCAGGCGTTTGAGTAATTTAGTGCAATCTGGTAATGGAACATAGGAATGGAACAATGGACGACGAACCTGGACTACGCTTGGATGATGAGAAGATTGGGTACGGTTGTTTTTCATAATAATTGTGCATTGTAATTGCTTATTGGTAATTTATGGATACTGTGTTAAGTCAATTGTTATATGTTGTATGGAACCACTGCTGTTTCTACTGTTTTTACTGTTTGTGAACCGCTGTGAGTCGCCTTCGGGCTTGAGATACAGCGGTATATAAGCAAAGTAAATACATAAATAAATAAATAAATTGTCACTGCCCTCCTGATGGAGAACCCAAAAATAAAAAAAACCAAGGTTAAAGGAAGTGGTGGTAGCAGTAGCCAACCCTTTCAAGAGGCATGGACCAAGATGTATGGCATTATAGAAAAAAAAATGGCAGATCATTCTGTGTTCTATGTACTCAAATGGTAGTAAGTAGAACATGGAACATAAATAGACATTTTGAAACTAATCATTCCCAGCTCTTGAAAAAAAGCGAGGATGAAAGGAAGGAATACATTTCCGGACAGCTACACCTTTAAGTTAAATAATTAGTTTTTGGTTTATTAAATACATGTATATGTTATATATTTTTTTTGTTATTTAAACTATAAGTATCACAAAATTATGTTGTTTTTTCCCCTCAAAGTGGCACCCCACCTGAGTTATGCTCTGTTTTTGGCAAATGTTGCCACACCAAGTTCAAAAGGTTGCCCATTGCTGACCTAGTCCAATCCGCCCCAGGACTGCAGAAATCCACAATGACCGCTCTCCCAAGAGATGCCTATCTGACGTAGACCACTCAGATTAGAGAGCCCACCCTGCTCCAAGAAAGCCAACCCTACTCTCAAAATATCAGGACTTCCTTCCCAATTTGGGGGGTGGAACTCTTGTGGCTTGAATCTCTTTGCAGTTTGAAATGCAGCAGAAGCCTTGGGCTGAAATAGAGGGCCTCCCCAGCCCAGTATCCTGGCCGCAGACTGAACATAACATGGACCACTGCAGCCTCTTTGCTCAGGATTCCTGAAAACCAGCTTGGAGAAATGAGGCTGCCTCCAAACAGCATGGAGAAGGCCCATTCATTGCCCCACACCTTCTTCTGGCCCTCTCCCGAGCGTTCTGCTGCCATACCTGTCCGGAGAGCGAGGCGCCAGTGTTTGCCCAGTGGCATGGTCTGGGTGAAGATCTCAGCCGACATGCGCTTGCAGTCCAAGGAGAAGAGCCTCAGCACGTTGTGGGAGAAATGCTGTGGAAGAGAAGCAGAGGAGAGGGGAGTAAACTGAGGCGGTGGCTTCGCCCACCGGCTACTTATACTCGCAAGGGGAGAGTGGGCGGGGCCAAACACCACAGTTTTTCATATCTATCTAGAATAGTGCTTCTCAACCTTCCTAATGCTGTGACCTGTGATATAAATATGTGAGCTGTGATATAAATATGTGAGAGGAAGCCACAGGGAGGAGGGAGCAAGCTTGTTTTCTGCTTCCTTGGAGACTAGGACGCGGAACAATGGCTTCAAACTACGAGAGAGGAGATTCCATCTGAACATGAGGAAGAACTTCCTGACTGTGAGAGCCGTTCAGCAGTGGAACTCTGCCCCGGAGGGAGTGTGGTGGAGGCTCCTTCTTTGGAAGCTTTTAAGCAGAGGCTGGATGGCCATCTGTCAGGGGTGATTTGAATGCAATATTCCTGCTTCTTGGCAGGGGGTTGGACTGGATGGCCCATGAGGTCTCTTCCAACTCTTTGATTCTATGATTCTATGATTCTATGACCCCTTAATACAGTTCCTCATGTTGTGGTGACCCCTAAGCTTAACATTACTTTCGTTGCAACTACAAAACTGTAGTTTTGCTCCTGTTATGAATCGTAACATAAATATCTGATATGCAGGATGCATATTTTGCGCTGTTATTGTTTTATCTGATGTTTTAATTGGTTAAAGCGTTTTACATGTGTGTTTTAATTGTAATCTTGGGTGTGTCCCTTGTAAGCCACCCCGAGTCCCCTAGGGGAGATGGTTGGCGGGGTATAAAAATAAAGTTGTTGTTGTTGTTTTTGTTGTTGTTGTTATTATTATTATTATTATTTTCATTCACTGGACCAAATTGGGCACAAATACCCGATACGCCCAAATTTGAATACTGGTGGGATGGGGGGGGGGGGTCGATTTTGTCATTTGGGACTTGTAGTTGCTGGGATTTATAGTTCACCTACAATCAAAGAGCATTCTGAACCCCATCAACGATGGAATTGAACCAAACTTGGCACACAGAACTCCCAAGACCAATAGAAAATACTGGAAGCAATTGGTCAGCATTGTCCTTGAGTTTGGGAATTGTAGTTCACCTACAGCCAGAGAGCACTGTGGACTCAAACAATGATGGAACTGGACCAAACTTGGCACGAATATCCAAATTTGAACACTGGTGGAATTTGGGGAAAATGCACCTTGACCTTTGGGAGTTGTAGTTGCTGGGATTTATAGTTCACCTTACAATCAAAGAGCATTTGAACCCCACCAATGATTGAATTGGGCAAAACTTCCTGCACAGAACCCCCTTGACCAACAGAAAATACTGTTTTCTGGTGGTCTTTGGTGACCCCTCTGACACCCCCTTGCGACCCTCCCAGGGGTCCCGACCCCCAGGTTGAGAAACACTGTTCTAGAAGGTTCTGAAGCAGTCTGCTCAGGCGCAGAAACTACCATATGTGCGATTCACAGTTGACCATGATGGGAAAGTAAGTACATGATGGGGCGCTTAGAAGTGTGGCACTTCGCCCAATTTGGAAGGCAAGAGTCACGACAAAGCCTATCTACGTAAGTCCCACTGAGAAGGAGCTGCAGGTCAATAGCACCTGGCTGGCTGTGAGGCCGTCCACTCTCAACCCCACTCCACCCAAAGGCTGGACTTACTTCAATGCTGGCAGCTGTGGAGTGGACTTGCTGGGCCAGTTCTTGCTCCTGGCCGGCAAGGAGCGGCCTCTGTGTCCTCCTGCTTTCCGCAAAGGCCTGGCAAACCAAAGCCGACGTCTCCTTCGCCTCCTCCTTCAGCAGCTGTGGTCAGAAAGAGCAGTCTTTAGAGGGTGGGAGAAGCCTGGGCCCTATAGCAAACCCTTCATCCTCTCCTGCTGCCCCTTCCTTGGAGATTCAATCCGCTCACATACAGGTTCCAGACAACATACATAACACACACAGACACATCCTGGGCCAAGTTGGGAAAGACAGAGCGATAGCGAGTGGAGTTGCTCCTTCCTCTGGTTGGAATTCCATCCCATACTGCCCAAGTCTCAAGTCCTCAATGAGGAGCAGTGTTGCAACTCAGGGTAGCTTTCACCTTGCTCCAGACACCACCACACCAAAGCTGTAGGTTTTGTAGGTTATTGAGAAAAAGGCAAAATCAAAACAAAGTATAAGAAATGCAAAAGTTCCATAGGCAGGACAAGGGCTTAAATGTAAAGACAAAGTTCCCAAGATCCAAAGGCAAAACATGAAGCATAATCCTTTGTTGTTGTTGTTCATTCGTTCAGTCGTCTCCGACTCTTCGTGACCTCATGGACCAGCCCACGCCAGAGCTCCCTGTCGGCCGTTACCACCCCCAGCTCCCTCAAGGTCAGTCCAGTCACTTCAAGGATGCCATCCATCCATCTTGCCCTTGGTCGGCCCCTCTTCCTTTTGCCTTCCACTTTCCCCAGCATAATTGTCTTCTCTAGGCTTTCCTGTCTCCTCATTATGTGGCCAAAGTACTTCAACTTTGTCTCTAGTATCTTTCCCTCCAGTGAGCAGTCGGGCTTTATTTCCTGGAGGATGGACTGGACTTTCCTTTAGTAATGGTCAAACAAGAGTAAACAGTTGAAAACAAGGTCCAAATCCCAGACTCAGGAAGCCAGAAGCGTGCTGCTAAAAGCCAAAGTTAATCCACAGAAGTTTGCATGGGAAGAGCTACGTTGGACTGACAACCCCTGCTTGTCAGCTACAAGGCTAAATACCCTTTGCAGACATGAACACATTGCGTTGACCTTTTATTTTATTTATTTATTTATTTTGGTTACTTCTACCCTGCCCTTCTCACCCCAGAGGGAGACTCAGGGAGGCTTACAAAGGCACAATTCGATGCCGGCATCAACATAACAGTATAGCAGCAATTAAACAGTTAACAATAAGTTTCTGCACTGCAACAATAAAACCAATAAAACCGATTTCACCTAATTAACGCTCAGCGTTCGCCATCTCATAGTCCAAATTACAATTCCACTTTGTCAGTCCTGTCAGTCCTAGTCGTCTAGTTGTCTTTATCTAGTTGTCAGATTGCTCGAAGGCCTGGTCCCACAACCATGTTTTCAATTAAACATTCACACCTAGCTCCAGCAGACAAGATTAGCATTTGATGGCCTGGCAGTGCCTGGGGCAATCTTTTGTTGAGAGGTGATTAGATGCCCCTGATTGTTTTCCCTCTGTTCTTTGCCCCACCCTGGTCTTTCCACAGATATATAAACCCTTTTTCCTAGTTCCAACAGACCTCACTACCTCTGAGGATGCTTGCCATAGATGCAGGCGAAACGTCAGGAGAGAATGCCTCTAGACCATGGCCATATAGCCCGAAAAAACCTACAACAAACCAGTTATTCCGGCCATGAAAGCCTTCGACAATACATTGTAAGAATACAATTCATCATTCATTCAACCAGGCCCCAGTGGTCAGTGTTTCCCTGCAACTCCATCCCCACACCTCCCTACTTGGGTCATTGTTTGTACTTTTATTTATGAATGTACTATGGTATTGAATGTTTTGCCATTTTTTGTGGTTACCTGCCCTGCGTCTCCTTGGGGAGACAGGGCAGGATGCAAACAAAGTTTGTTTATGTATGTATTTATGTATGGATTCCTTCCCCCACTTGCCTGCAAGTCCCCTTGGGTCACGAGGAGGAACTGGCTGAGGGACCAGGAGGCCAGGTACTGGTAGGCCTTACTCATGACCCAGAAGCAGGAGGCGTGAGCGGTGGCCGCCGAGAGGGAGAGCAGCTCCAGGCGGAGGCCGGCCGGGAGGAGACCCTCGCCTGAAACGAGAGGAACGCGTCAGTGCACAAGCCATTCGCGGGGACGCTTGCTCCCAGTTGCAACTGTCAGGAATATTAAAAATTAACTGGGTATTTTTGATTACAAAAGTGTGAGTAAGACACTGAAAGAGTGAGTAGGCCGAAGCCTGTGCGTAGTGGGCCAAAGCTAGTGTACTCACAAAGAGAGTGAGTAGCTCAAAGCCTGTTAAGAGTCAGTGGGCCAAAGCTAGTGTTCTCCTGAGGAGAGTGAGTAGGCCGAAGCCTGTACGAGTCAGTGGGCCAAAGCGGAGAGTGAGTAGGCCGAAGCCTATACAAGTCAGTGTCGTCCTGAGGAGAGTGAGTAGGCCGAAGCCTGTTAGAGTCAGTGGGCCAAAGCTAGTCTCCTGAGGAGAGTGAGTAGGCCAAATCGTGTTTGAGTCAGTGGGCCAAAGCTTGTCCAAAGCTAGTGTTGTCCTGAGGAGAGTGAGTAGGATGAGCCTGTTAGAGTCAGTGGGCCAAAGCTAGTGTTGTCCTGAGGAGAGTTAGTAGTCCAAAGCTAGTCTCCTGAGGAGAGTGAGTAGGCTGAATCCTGTTTCAGACAGTGGGCCAAACCTAGTCCAAAGCTAGTGTTGTCCTGAGGAGAGTGGGTAGGCCGAAGCCTGTTTGAGTCAGTGGGCCAAAGCTAGTATTGTTTTGAGGAGAGTGAGTAGGCCGAAGACTGTTAGAATTAGTAGTCCAAAGCTAGTGTCCTGAGGAGAGTGAGTAGGCCGAAGCCTATTAGAGTTAGTCGTCCAAAGCTAGTTTTGTCCTGAGGAGAGTGAGTAGGCCGAAGCCTGGTAGTCAGTGGGCCAAAGCTAGTGTTGTCCTGAAGAGAGTGAGTAGGCCGAAGCTTATTAGAGTCAGTAGGCCAAAGCTAGTGTCGTCCTGGGGAGAGTGAGTAGGCCGAAACCCGTTAGAGTCAGTAGGCCAAAGCTGGTGTTGTCCTGAGGAGAGTGAGTAGGCCAAAGCCTGTGAGAGTCAATGGGCCAAAGCTAGTGTTGTCCTGAGGAGAGTGGGTAGGCCGAAGCCTGTTTGAGTCAGTGGGCCAAAGCTAGTGTCATCCTCAGGAGAATGAGTAGCCTGAAGCCCGTTAGAGTCAGTGGGCCAAAGCTAGTGTTGTCATGAAGAGAGTGAGTAGGCCGAAGCTTATTAGAGATAGTAGTCCAAAGGTAGTATTGTCCTGAGGAGAGTGAGTAGGCCAAAGCCTGTGAGAGTCAATGGGCCAAAACTAGTGTTGTCCTGAGGAGAGTGAATAGGTCAAAGCCTGTACGGGTCAGTAGACCAAAGCTAGTGTCATCCTGAGGAAAGTGAGTAGGCCGAAGCCTGTTGGAATTAGTGGGTCAAAGCTAGTGTTGTCCTGAGGAGAGTGAGTAGGCCAAAGCCTGTTAGAGTTAGTAGTCCAAAGCTAGTGTCCTGAGGAGAGTGAGTAGGCCGAAGCCTGTTAAGAGTCAGTGAGCCAAAGCTAGTGTCGTCCTGAGGAGAGTGAGTAGGCCAAAGCCTGTTAGAGTCAGTGGGCCAAAGCTAGTGTCGTCCTGAGGAGAGTGAGTAGGCCGAAGCCTGTTAGAGTTAGTGCCAAAGCTAGTGTCCTGAGGAGAGTGAGTAGGCCGAATCCTGTTTGAGTCAGTGGGCCAAAGCTAGTGTCATCCTGAGGAGAGTGAGTAGGCCGAAGTCTGTTAGTTAGTAGTCCAAAGCTAGTGTTGTCCTGAGGAAAGTGAGTAGGCCAAAGGCTGTTAGAGTCAGTGGGCCAAAGCTAGTGTCGTCCTGAGGAGAGTGAGTAGGCCGAAGCCTGTTAAGAGTCAGTGGGCCAAAGCTAGTTTTGTCCTGAAGAGAGTGAGTAGGCCGAAGCTTATTAGAGTTAGTAGTCCAAAGCTAGTGTTATCCTGAGGAGAGTGAGTAGGCCAAAGCCTGTGAGAGTCAGTGGGCCAAAGCTAGTGTTGTCCTGAAGAGAGTGAGTAGGCCGAAGCTTATTAGAGTTAGTAGTCCAAAGCTAGTGTTGTCCTGAGGAGAGTGGGTAGGCCGAAGCCTGTTAGAGTCAGTGGGCCAAAGTTAGTGTCATCCTGCAGAGCGTGAGAAGGCCGAAGCCTGTTAGAGTCAGTGGGCCAAAGTTAGTGTCATCCTGCAGAGCGTGAGTAGGCCGAAGCCTGTTAGAGTCAGTGGGCCAAAGCTAGTGTTGTCCTGGGGAGAGTGAGTAGGGCAAAGCCTGTTAGAGTCAGTGGGCCAAAGTTAGTGTCATCCTGCAGAGCGTGAGTAGGCCGAAGCCTGTTAGAGTCAGTGGGCCAAAGCTAGTGTTGTCCTGGGGAGAGTGAGTAGGGAAAAGCCTGTTAAGAGTCAGTGGGCCAAAGTTAGTGTCATCCTGCAGAGCGTGAGTAGGCTGAAGCCTGTTAGAATCACTGCGCCAAAGCTAGTGTTGTCCTGAGGAGAGTGAATAGGCCAAAGCCTGTTAGAGTCAGTGGACCAAAGCTAGTGTCGTCCTGAGGAGTGTAAGGTAAACCTCTGTGTGAGAGAAGCCTAGTGTGAGAAAGCTCCAGTGTGAAAGCTGCTGTGTGTAAAGCTACTATGTATTTGTTTATTTGTGTTATGGAAACCTTATTCTTGTAAACAGTGCATTAACAAAAAAAAACATCTTTTGTTAATAAGCCCACGTGCCCTACACCAACCTGCCCAGGCTTCCCACGTTGTGCCACTTGCTTACCGGCACTCCTGGCAGACGTGGTGTCCAGGCAGCCAAGAGTGAAGTTCAGCGGCAGGTAGAGGCTCTGCAAGCGCTGCGCAGTCTGGCTGTGGGCAGCGTCGGCGCCGGGGACGGCTGGCTTGGCCATGCATTTGTCGGTGAGGCCGGAGCCTAGCGCGTGGCAGAAAGCTGGACCAGGAAGGATCAGAGATGGTTGGAGACTGGTAGAAGGTGCCTACCTGACCCAGGAACAACCCTGGCACAAAGTGCGTATTTGGGACAGGAAGACCCCTGCCTCCCCTCTGAAAGACCCACAGAATCCCAAATTGCACTCAGCTAAATCCCGTTACCTTGGTCCCAGTGCTGGCGGACATCTTGCAGAAGCAGGTGAAGCGCCAATGCGCTCAGCTCCTCGGCACTCTCGCGGGGCAGGTGCGCTGCAATGCGGAGGAACATTTAGGAGAGGAAGCAGAAAATTTATTTATTTCATTTATTTCACAGTTTTCTACACCGAGCTTCTCAACCTCATTGAGGGACTCAGCCCGGTTTCCAGCCATAAAAAACATACACACTTATTAAAATATCATATATCACAATTACAAAAACAACTTTAAAAACACTATATATAAAACTACTGTGGTCAGTCGTCCTATTAAGATGGATCTACATCAACTTCCATCCAGGGTCCTATGGTGTTGTCTCATTCATTGAAGGCCTGACTCCACAGCCACGTCTTCACCCGTTTCCTAAATGTTAGAATGGATGGGGTGGTTCTGGCCTACAGAGGGAGAGAGTTCCAGAGTCGTGGGGCCACCACCGAGAAGGCCCTGTCCCTCGTCCCTACCAGGCGCACTTGCGAGGCCGGTGGGACCGAGAGCAGGGCCTCTCCAGATGATCTTAATAATCTTGATGGTTCGTACGGGAGAATACGTTTGGAGAGGTAAACAGGGGCGGAGTCGTTTAGGGCTTTATAGGTCAACACCAGCATTTTGAATTGTGCTCGGAAGCTAATTGGCAGCCAGTGGAGCTGGCGTAACAGCGGAGTGGTGTGCTCCCCGTACCCAGCCCCCGTTAGTAATCTGGCTGCCGCGCGTTGGACTTCCGGGCAGTCTTCAAAGGCAAACCCACGTAGAGAGCGTTGCAGTAGTCTAAGTGGGATGTAACCAAAGCGTGTAGGCAGGAAGGCAGGCAAGGACTCATGTGCTTTTCACAATCCTGGAACCGGGATTGTGGCACAGCTGGCTGAGTGTCAGCTGCATTAAGATCACTCTGACCAAAAAAAAAAGGTCATGAGTTCGAAACCAGCCCGAGTTGGAGTGGGTTTCCAACCAATTGTGTGTAGCCTGTTGTCAACCTTTGCAACCCGAAAGACAGTTGCATCTGTCAAGTAGGAAAATAAGGTACCACCTTATTATTATTATTATTATTATTATTATTATTATTATTATTATTATTAAACTTTATTTGTACCCCGCTAGCATCTCCCGAAGGATTCGATGTGGCTTACACAGGCCGAGGCCTCAACACACAACATCACAATACAATCTAAGCAAATCAAACAATTAAAACAGAATAAAGCGAAGTGAACAACAGGCACAATACACTAAAACACAATAAAACTGGGCCGGGCCAGAGTAAAGGGTACAAGAATTAAAAGTGCTGATGTGACAGGAGGTGTATATAAGGCTTCTAGGGCAAGTGTGATATGCGATGTGCAGCAATCATTGGTTCTGGTAAAGTGCTTATGGGACTTGGTAGTGGAGATTTCCTAATCTGGGAAGGCGCATCGGAAAAGCCAGGTCTTCAGGTTCTTTCTGAAGACAGCCAATGTAGGGGCCTGTCTTTGGGGAGGGTGTTCCAGAGTCTGGGGGCCACCACGGAAAAGGCCCTGTCTCGCGTCCCCACCAAGCACGCTTGCGACGCAGGTGGGATCACGAGCAGGGCCTCTCCAGATGATCGAAGTGAACATGTGGGTTCGTAGATGGAGGCTGGTCCCAAACCTTAAGGTGTGGGGAGGCTAAATTAACTGATTTATGAGGCCATAAAGAAGACTCCAGCAAAGCATTCCAGCGGGGAAGCATGCGGGGAATGCGGAAGTGCTTCATCAGTGTCACAGATGGACGATGGAAGCGACAGCTCCCCTGGCAGCCAGAAAAAGTTAAATAGCCTCTGTGTATGTCTGTATATGTCAAAAATTGGCATTGAATGTTTGCCATATATGTGTACACTGTAATCCGCCCTGGGTCCCCTGCGGGGTGAGAAGGGCGGAATATAAATGCTGTAAATAAAAATATAAATAAGAATAGCATCTCGAGCTGAGGATGACCTAGGAAGGAATACTACTGGAGCATTGCAGCACACCCAAATACCTGGGAGTCACTCTGGACCGTCAATGTTCAACATCTACACAAATGACCAGCCACTGCCAGAAGGGACAGAGAGTTTCATCTATGCTGATGATCGTGCCATCACCGCTCAAGCAGGGAGCTTTGAGATGGTTGAACAGAAGCTCTCCGAAGCTCTAGGTGCCCTTACTGCCTATTACAGGGGAAACCAGATGATCCCTAATCCATCTAAAACACAGACATGTGCCTTTCACCTTAAGAACAGACAAGCATCCCGAGCTCTGAGGATCACCTGGGAAGGAATCCCACTGGAGCATATCAGTGCACCCAAATACCTGGTATTCACTCTGGACCAGGCTCTTACCTACAAGAAGCATTGCCTGAACATCAAACAAAAAGTGGATGCTAGAAACAATATCATGCGAAAGCTGACTGGCACAACCTGGGGATCACAACCAGACGCAGTGAAGACATCTGCCCATGCACTATGCTACTCTTCTGCTGGGTATGCATGCCCGGTGTGGAACACATCTCACCATGTTAAAGCAGTGGATGTGGCTCTTAATGAGACATGTCACATTATCACAGGGTGATAATGAATGTGCAAAACCACACACACACACACACATATGTACACATAAAACACATATACACAGACTAGGCCACAGCAACGCATGGCAGGGGATGCGTAAAGAGCTTACCGGGCTCAATTCAAAGTGCTGGTGTTGGCCTTTAAAGCCCTAAACGGTTCCGGCCCAAGCTACCTATCCGACCGCATCTCTGCCTATGAACCCACCAGGACTTTGAGATCTTCCGGGGAGACCCTGCTCTCGATCCTGCCTGCTTCTCAGGCTCGGCTGGCGGGGACGAGAGATAGGGCCTTCTCGGTGGTGGCTCCTCGGCTGTGGAACGCCCTTCCTACGGACATTAGACTAGCACCATCTCTAATGGTGTTCCGCAAAAAAGTGAAGACCTGGCTGTTCGAGCAGGCATTCGAATAATTGTGCAATGACTGGTAATGACATAGGAATGGAACAATGGATGACGAATCTGGATCGTGTTTTTAGTGATGAGACGCTAGTGAATGGTTATTATAGTAATTGTGTATTAACTGTGTATTAGATTAGGTTGTAACTGTTTTTTATATTGGTGCATTGAATTTTGCTGTTTCCTGTGTGTTGTGAACTGCTGTGAGTCGCCTCCGGGCTGAGAACAGTGGTATAGAAGTAAAGTAAAGTAAATAAATAAGGCAAAAGAAAATTAAAATTACTGAGAATTTAGGAAACCAATTGAAGACCCAACTCTGCCAGCAGTTTTAACTTGTGAATGTTAACCTGCATTTTATCAGTAAATGTTAATCTGTTTCATTTTACATCACTGTTTAACCATGTGGTGCCTTGAGCTTCAAGGAGAAACAGGAAATAAATAAATAAATAAATATTAATTCAGTCCTGGAAGAGAGTTCTGTGGATGCCGAGGTTTGCCAAAATGGACCAGTAATTGGATGCAAGAGCGAATCAAGTCAGATCTCTCCCAAGAAGTCCAAACAGGCATGGGCAAACTTCAGCCCTTCAGGTGTTTTGGACTTCAACTCCCACAATTCTTCTCAATTGGTAGGCTGTTAGGAATTGTGGGAGTTGAAGTCCAAAACACCTGTAGGGCCGAAGTTTGCCCATGCCTGAGCCAAAATGACCATGCTGAGACTGTCATACTGTACTTTGGCTCTTGGTTCTGTATTTGCCTTTACGTGCCTGTATAGTATATGGAATATATTTTTAGTGATGAGACCTTAGTGAATGGTTATTATAGTAAATGTGTATTAATTGTGTATTAGATTAGGTTATTAACTGTTTTATATTGGTGTTGAATTTTGCTGTGCCCTGTGTCTTATGAACCACCGTGAGTCGCCTCTGGGCTGAGAACAGCGGTATAGAAGTAAAGTAAATAAATAAAAGTAAATAATAAATACTTAAGCACAACAACTGTAATTTAAATAATTTGCAATCTGTCAAGCCCCGGACCCAACTGCCCCACGCATCTCTCTCTCTCTTGCACACGCTTACCCTGTGCCAGGGCCCAGTTGAGCTGCTGGCCCAGTTGGGCTCCGGCCCCCTCCTGCCACCGAGCCCCGGGCCAATGGAGCTGCAGCCGGTGCTCCAGGGTGGATGCAGCAACTCTCCAGAGGAGGGGCCGGAGTTCGGCGTAGAGCCCAGCGGCTGCCTCGGCGAAGGAGGCGTCCAGCCAGCGCACGGACTTCCATCCAGGCAGGGCGGCCGACACCTCAGGGGACTCCTCCAGAGGCTTCTCTTGCTTGGGTCGTTGGAGGATGTGGTGGCGCAGGCTTTGGGCGGAGGACACCAGCTCCCGCAGGATGGGCAGCAGTGCGTCCTCCTCCCTCTGGCATAGGACCTGCAGCTCCTCAGGGAGGCTGGGTGGCCCCTCTCCCATTTTGGGGTCCCGCCGACAGGACTCCTCCTCCCCCAGCCAATACTCAGGGTGGCCCTCCCAAGCTGGCCCAGTTGCCAGTGGCGGCTGTTGGAGAAGGAGCCGGTACAGCTTCTGGCCTGCCCACTGACCCCGCTCTGACGCCAGGATGCCCAGCACTCGATCTATTGGGAACATGCCCTGGGAGCCGTTTGGCACCCTCCGTACCCCGGGGTTGGTCTCCCCCAGCTCCAGGAAGACCTCCTGCAAGGACTGGTCACCCAGCACCTGGTTGTAGATCTCTAAACCCTGGAAGAGGTCCGAGAGGGGTCCGGGGGCAGCCGGGTAGGTGACAGAGCGCAGGTAGGCCTCCAAGCATCCTTCCAGAAGCCGGGCGGCATGCAAGGCCAGCAGAGAGAGAGCGTGCTTCATGCGCCGCACCGCTTCCGGGCGCTGGAGCAGCAGAGGCCGCAGCCAGGGGTCGCGGCGGATGTGCTGCCGCAGCCCTTCCCAATGCGCGGCGTGGGCCCGCATCTCCTCACAGAGGCCGCGCAGCAGGCGGGGCCAGGAGGGGTTCCGTCGGCCGGCCGGGAGCAAGAGGCATCGCCGTGCGGCCCGCAGGTGGCCCACGAAGTCCGAGGCTGCCTTGAGGCGCCGGCCATAGTGACGAGCCAGGCGCAGGTGGTGCCGGTGCTGCAGTAGGGCGTGAAGGGTGGCACACTGGCGAGCCACGCTGGCTCGGGCTGGGTGGTGGGAAAAGGCGCCTCGGGCAGCCTCCGGGCTGGACGGACGGACCAAGCCACGGAAGGTCTCGCTCCGGGGGTTCTCCTGCACGCGCAAACAGCGGCGGAGACCCGAGAAGCTGCCCTCCACCTGGGCCAGGCGGGCCAAGCCCCCGGGGGAGTCCTCCTCCTCGCTGTCGTAGGAACTCGAGCCAGCTTGGAAGGGGAGCTGGCGCCACAGGCCCGGGCTCACGCACTGGCGCAGGAGAGCCTCCGCCTTCTGGAAGGGACGGGCCAAGTTCATCAGTGAGCTGGAGCCTGAAAAAAGAGAAAAGGGGTGTGTGTAGATCAGGGAGACAAATAGATGGGGCTTTAAAGAGCCGTTCTCTTTGGTAATGTAAACATGTTGTTTTCCACCACAGAGTTAATCATTTGTCTCTGGTCAGCAGTTTTCCTCTTTTTTTGTAGTTTTCCAGGTCTCATTTCTTAGGATGGCACCTCTAGAGTCTATAGAACCTTGTATCATATAGGATACAATGGATTAATGTACAGTATAATAGCAAAGTAGTGAATCAATTAAGTACAGTATAATAGTGAAATAGTGAGTTGATGTATAGTATAATAGTAAATTAGTGAATTAATGACATATAGTATGACAGTGAAATAGTCAATTAATGAAGTACAGTATAATGGTGATTCAATGAACAGTATAATAGTGAAATAGTGAATCAATGAAGTACAATATAATAGTGATTTAGTGTAAAGTATAATAGCGAAATCATGAATCAATGAAGTACAGTACAGTATAATAGTGAAGTACAGTATAATCGTGCAATAGTACAGTATGAAGTACAGTATAATCAATGAAGTACAGTATAATCGTGAAATAGTGAATTAATGAAGTATAGTATAATAGTGATTCAATGTACAGTATAATAGCAAAATAGTGAATCAATGAAGTACATTATAATAGTGAAATAGTGAGTTGATATGCAGTATAATAGTAAAATAGTGAATCAATGAAGTACAATATAATAGTGATTTAGTGTACTGTATAATAGCAAAATTGTGAATCAATAAAGTACAGTATAATGGTGATTCAAGGTACAGTATAATAGTGAAATAGTGAATCAATGAAGTACAGTACAGTATAATAGAGAAAAAGTGAATCAATGAAGTACAGTATAATAGTGATTCGATGTACAGTATAATAGTGAAATAGTGAATTAATGAAGTACAGTATAATAGTGATTCAATGTACGGTATAATGGTTATTCAATGTACCGTATAATAGTGAAATAGTGAATCAATGAAGTACAATATAATAGTGATTCAGTGTACAGTATAATAGTGAAATAGTGAATCAATGAAGTACAGTATAATGGTGATTCAAGGTACAGTATAATAGTGAAATAATGAATCAATGAAGTACAGTATAATACTGTAATAGTGAATCAATGAAGTACAGTATAATAGTGAATCAATGTACAGTATAATAGTGAAATAGTGAATTAATGAAGTACAGTATAATAGTGATTCGATGTACAGTATAATAGCAAAATAGTGAATCAATGAAGTACATTATAATAGTGAAATAGTGAGTTGATATGCAGTATAATAGTAAAATAGTGAATCAATGAAGTACAATATAATAGTGATTTAGTGTACAGTATAATAGCGAAATTGTGAATCAATGAAGTACAGTATAATGGTGATTCAAGGTACAGTATAATAGTGAAATAGTGAATCAATGAAGTACAGTATAATAGTGAAATAGTGAATCAATGAAGTACAGTATAATAGTGATTCTATGTACAGTATAATAGTGAAATAGTGAATTAATGAAGTACAGTATAATAGTGATTCGATGTACAGTATAATAGTGAGTCAATGCGCAGTATAATAGTGAAATAGTGAATAAATGAAGTAGAGATAATAGTGAAATAGTGAATCAGTGAAGTAGAGATAATAGTGAAATAGTGAATCAGTGAAGTAGAATATAATAGTAAAATAGTGAATCAATGAAGTAGAGTATAATAGTGATTCAATGTACAGTATAATAGTGAAATAGTGAATTAATGAAGTACAGTATAATAGTGATTCTATGTACAGTATAATAGTGATTCGATGTACAGTATAATAGCAAAATAGTGAATCAATGAAGTACAGTATAATAGTGAAATAGTGAGTTGATGTGCAGTATAATAGTGAAATAATGAATCAGTGAAGTACAGTATAATAGTGAAATAGTGAATCAATGAAGTACAGTATAATAGTGATTCAATGTACAGTAGAATAGTGAAATAGTGAATCAATGAAGAACAGTATAATAGTGAAATAGTGAGTCACTGTACAGTATAATAGTGAAATATAGAACATTGTATCCTATAGCAAGTGTGGGCAAACTTTGTCCCTCCAGGTATTTTGGACTTCAACTCCCACAATTCCTAGCAGCTGGTAGGCTGTTAGAAAATGTGGGAGTTGGGGTCCAAAATGCCTGGAGGGCTGGAGTTTGCCCATTCCTGTCCTCTGGAGTAGTCTTGTTAAAAAAAACCCCCCAGAAACACTGGACTCAAATACATATGGTACTGGAGGATCAACAGGAAATAAGATATGGACAATTACTACAATGTCTATGCCGAGAGACAGAAAGAACTGGTTATCCCAACACATTAAGAACAGAAGGCAAAGAAAACTAGCTGAAGTAAACAACCTCATGGCTGTATTACATACCGTATCTTTTATTGGACTACATTTTAATATGTGTGTTTATAATTTTTTGCAATGTTTGTGACTTTTGAGTGTGTTGTGACCCACCTCCAGCCATGAGGAGAGGCAGGTAAGAAATAAAATGACCACTACTACTACTGCTGCTGCTACTACTACTACTACTACAACAATAGTGTTATCTAAAGGAAGCAGGAAACCAAGAAGTAAAAAATCAACATACAATGAGAGTGAGGTTCATAGACTAGTCACAATAGTGGTGTGCTTGACATGTCCATGTGTTTAGCTGTGTTCGATTTAGTAGTTCTAGTGTTATATATATTTTTGTGTTTTCATCCTCCCCCCCTCCCTTATTTCTGAATAAAAGTTAATTACAAAAAACCAATTAGATGGATAGCCACTTGTCTCAAAGGTCTCTTGAAGGTCAGTGGCCTCTGCTGCTCCTGCAATTGGCTGCTAATGCCAGGGATTAAGCCGCCCTGCTGCCTGGATGACCTGAGAGGCTGGCCGGATGAGAATCAAGGAACTACAGTATAAAAGTGAAATAGTGAATCATTGAAGAGTATAATAGTGAAATAGAGAACCAATGAAGTACGGTATAATAGCGAAATTGTGAACCAATGATGTCCAGTATAATAGTGAATCAATGACGTACATTATAATAGTGAAATAATGAATCAAGGAAGTACAGCATAATAGTGAAATAGTGAATTGATGTACAGTATAATAGTGAAATAGAGAACCAATGAAGTACAGTCTAATAGCGGAATAGTGGATTAATGAAATACTGTATAATAGTGAAATAGTGAATCAGTATACAATATAATAATGAAATACTGAGGAAGTACAGTATAATAGTGAAATAGTGAATCAATGTACAGTAAATAGTGAAATGGTGAATCAATGTGCAGTATAATGTTGAAATAGTGAGGAGGTATAGTATAATAGTGAAATAGTTAATCAAGGAAGTACAGCATAATAGTGAAATAGTGAATCAATGTACAATATAAAAGTGAAATAGTGAATCGATGTACAGTACAAGAATGAAATAGTTAGGAAGTACAGCATAATAGTGAAATAGTGAATCAAGGAAGTACAGCATAATAGTGAAATAGTGAATCAATGTTCAGTATAATAGTGAAATAGTGAATCAATAAAGTACAGTATAATAGTGAAAAGCTGAATTAATGAAGTATGGTATAATAGTGAAACAGTGACTCAATGTACAGTATAATAGTGAAATAGTGAGAAGGTACAGTATAATAGTGAAATGGTGAATCGATGTACAGTGTAATAGTGAAATAGTTAATCAATGAAGTACAGTATAATAGCGGAATAGTGGGTTAATGAAGTACAGTGAAATAGTGAAATAGTGAATCAATCTACAATATAAAAGTGAAATAGTGAATCGATGTAGAGTACAAGAATGAAATAGTGAGGAAGTACAGTATAATAGCAAAATACAGAATCAATGAAGTACAGTATAATACTGAAATAGTGAATCAATAAAGTACAGTATAATATTGAAATAGTGAATCAATGTACACTATAAAAGTGAAATAGTGAATCAATGTACAGTATAATAATGAAATAGTGAGGAAGTACAGTATAATATTGAAATAGTGAATCAATGTACAATATAAAAGTGAAAAAGTGGATCAATGTACAGTATAATAATGAAACAGTGAGGAAGTACAGTATAATAGTGAAATAGTGAATTAGTGAAGTACAGTATAATATTGAAATAGTGAAACAATGAAGTACAGTATAATAGTGAAATACAGTCATCAAGAGCAAACAGCATTGCTATTTAGATATTGTAGAAGGATATGCAGATACATACACATTAACAACAACAACAACAACAACAACATTTATTTATACCCCGAAGGGGGACTCTAAGTGGCTTCACTTGAGTGTTTATATGACACGGTAACATAGTGAATCCTCATGCATTATAACTACTACTACTACTACTACTACTACTACTACTACTACTATTTTATTTCTTACCCACCTCTTGTGTGCAAGATATGGATGTAGGTAGACCAGGCATGGGCAAACTTGGGCCCTCCAGGGGTTTTGGACTCCAACTCCCACAATTCCGAACAGCCTACCGGCTGTTCGGAATTGTGGGAGTTGAAGTCCAAAACCCCTGGAGGGCCAAAGGAGAGAGTTCCAACTAAGTGAGAGTCTCCTCCTGGTCTAAATAAACCCACCTGTGTCCGCAGCCTCCCCTTGCTCCCCGTTGCCGTCGGCCGGGCCGGGCCCCTTCCTGGGGGCCACCAGGGACCCCAAAGGCGGCAAGATGGACCCCGAGGCCTGAGAGACACGGGACATGAGGAGAAGGAAGATGGCGTTCAGGCCCACCGCCTCGGCCTGGACCACCTGCGGAGAGAAAGCACCAGGCTCACACAATCCCAGAGTTGGATGGGACCCCTCAAGGACATCTAGACCAACCCCAATCAGAGCCCTCCCAACAGATGGCCATACTAGAAGGACCTTCAGAGAAGGAATCATAGAAGAATGCTACCAAAATCATACATCTGTTATAGAACTCCAATATGCCGATGATAATGTAGTCTATGCACGTTCAGAAGAAAACCTACAAGCCAGTCTTAAGCATGGAAACCATCTATTGGACAGGTGGCAAGCTGTTTAACCTCAGAAGACTGAAAGCCAAAACCAAAACCACAACATCTGTTATAGAACTCCAATATGCCGATGATAATGTAGTCTATGCACGTTCAGAAGAAGACCTACAAGCCACTCTTAAGCATGGAAACCATGTATTGGACAGGTGGTAAGCTGTTTAACCTCAGAAGACTAAAAGCCAAAACCAAAACCACAACATCTGTTATAGAACTCCAATACGCCGATGATAATGTAGTATATGCACATTCAGAAGAAGACCTACAAGCCACTCTTAAGCATGGAAACCATCTATTGGACAGGTGGCAAGATGTTTAACCTCAGAAGACTGAAAGCCAAAACAAAAAACCACAACATCTGTTATAGAACTCCAATATGCCAATGATAATGGAGTCTGTGCACGTTCAGAAGAAGACCCAAAGGGAACTGTAAAGCGTACAAGAAGTTCGGCGAGCTGTTTAACCTCAGCAGACTCAAAACCAAAACCACATCTGTTATAGAACTCCAGTATGCCGATGATAATGAAGGCTGTGCACGTTCAGAAGAAGACTCAATTATGCAACACAGGAAGGAAGACACAATTAGAGCCCTCCCAACAGACGGTCATCTAGTCTCAACTCGAAGAACCTTCATAGAGGAATGATAGAGTTGGAAGAGACACCAAGGGCCATCCAATTGTCCAACCCAGGCCAGAAGACACAATTAGAGCCCTCCCGACAGATGGCCATCTAGTCTCAACTTGAAGAACCTTCATAGAGGAATGATAGAGTTGGAAGAGACACCAAGGGCCATCCAATTGTCCAACCCAGGCCAGAAGACACAATTAGAGTCCTCCCAACAGATGGCCACCCAGACACAATTAGAGCCATATAGACAGATGGCCATCTAGTCTCCACTTGAAAGACCTTTAGAGAAGGAATCACAGAAGAATGCTAAAGTTGGAAGAAACCTCAAGGTCCATCCAATTGTCCAACCCAGGCTGGAAGGCACAATTAGACCCCTCCCAACAGATGGCCATCTAGTCTCAACCTGAAGAACCTTCATAGAGGAAGGCCATCTAGTCTATACTTGAAAGACCTTCAGAGAAGGAATCACAGAAGAATGCTAGAGTTGGATGAGCCCTCAAGGGCCATCTAATTTTCCAACCCAAGCTGGAAGACACAATTAGAGCCCTCCCAACAGATGGCCATCTAGTCTCCACTTGAAAGACCTTCAGAGAAGGAATCATAGAGGAATGCTAGAGTTGGAAGAGACCCCCAAAGACCATCCAGTCCAACCCTATTCTGTTAGGTAGCAAAACACAATCAGAGCCCTCCCGACAGATGGCCATCTAGTCTCAACTTGAAGAACCTTCATAGAGGAATGGTTGAGTTGGAAGAGACCCCAAGGGCCATCCAATTATTCAACCCAGGAAGGAAGACAGAATTAGAGCCCTCCCAACAGATGGCCATCTAGTCTCAACTTGAAGAACCTTCATAGAGGAATGATAGAGTTGGAAGAGACCCCAAGGGCCATCCAATTATTAAACCCAGGCCGGAAGACACAATCAGAGCCCTCCCAACAGAGGGCCATCTAGTCTCAACTTGAAGAACCTTCATAGAGGAATGGTTGAGTTGGAAGAGACCCCAAGGGCCATCCAATTGTCCAACCCAGGCCAGAAGACACAATTAGAGTCCTCCCAACAGATGGCCACCCAGACACAATCAAAGCCCTCCCAACAGATGGCCATCTAGTTTCTGCTTGAGAGATCTTCAGAGACGGACTCATAGAAGAATACTAGAGTTGGATGAGCCCTCAAGGGCCATCCAATTGTCCAACCCAGGCCGGAAGACACAATTAGAGCCCTCCCAACAGATGGCCATCTAGTCTCCACTTGAAAGACCTTCAGAGAAGGAATCATAGAGGAATGCTAGAGTTGGAAGAGACCTCAAGGGCCATCCAATTATTCAATCCAGGAAGAAAGACACAATTAGAGCCCTCCCAACAGATGGCCATCCAGGCTCTACTTACAAACCTCTGGAGAAGGAATCACAGAGGAATGATACAGTTGGATGAGACCCCCCAAAGGCCATCCAGTCCAACCCTGTTCTGCTAAGCAGCAAAACACAATCAGAGCCCTCCCGACAGATGGCCATCTAGTCTCAACTTGAAGAACCTTCATAGAGGAATGGTTGAGTTGGAAGAGACCCCAAGGGCCATCCAATTATTCAACCCAGGAAGGAAGACACAATTAGAGCCCTCCCAACAGATGGCCACCCAGACACAATCAGAGCCCTCCCAACAGATGGCCATCTAGTTTCTGCTTGAGAGATCTTCAGAGAAGGACTCATAGAAGAATACTAGAGTTGGATGAGCCCTCAAGGGCCATCCAATTGTCCAACCCAGGAAGGAAGACACAATTAGAGCCCTCCCAACAGATGGCCACCCAGACACAATCAGAGCCCTCCCAACAGATGGCCATCTAGTCTCTGCTTGAGAGATCTTCAGAGAAGGACTCATAGAAGAATACTAGAGTTGGATGAGCCCTCAAGGGCCATCCAATTGTCCAACCCAGGAAGGAAGACACAATTAGAGCCCTCCCAACAGATGGCCACCCAGACACAATCAGAGCCCTCCCAACAGATGGCCATCTAGTCTCTGCTTGAGAGACCTTCAGAGAAGGAATCACAGAAGAATGCTAGAGTTGGAAGAGACCTCAAGGGCCATCCAATTATTCAACCCAGGAAGGAAGACACAATTAGAGCCCTCCCGACAGATGGCCATCAAGTCTCAACCTGAAGAACCTTCATAGAGGAATGATCTAGTCTCTACTTGAAAGACCTTCAGAGAAGGAATCACAGAAGAATGCTAGAGTTGGAAGAGACCTCAAGGGCCATCCAATTATTCAATCCAGGAAGAAAGACACAATTAGAGCCCTCCCAACAGATGGCCATCCATGTTCTACTTACAAACCTCTGGAGAAGGAATCATAGAGGAATGATAGAGTTGGATGAGACCCCCAAAGGCCATCCAGTCCAACCCTGTTCTGCTAGGCAGAAAAACACAATCAGAGCCCTCCCAACAGATGGCCATCTAGTCTCAACTTGAAGAACCTTCATAGAGGAATGGTTGAGTTGGAAGAGAGCCAAGGGCCATCCAATTATTCAACCCAGGAAGGAAGACACAATTAGAGTCCTCCCAACAGATGGCCACCCAGACACAATCAGAGCCCTCCCAACAGATGGCCATCTAGTTTCTGCTTGAGAGATCTTCAGAGAAGGACTCATAGAAGAATAGTAGAGTTGGATGAGCCCTCAAGGGCCATCCAATTACTCAACCCAGGTCGGAAGACACAATTAGAGCCCTCCCAACAGATGGCCATCTAGTCTCCACTTGAAAGACCTTCAGAGAAGGAATCATAGAGGAATGCTAGAGTTGGAAGAGACCCCCAGGCCATCCAGTCTGACTCTATTCAGCTAGGCAGCCAAACACAATCAGAGCCCTCCCGACAGATGGCCATCTAGGCCAAGCAGGCTACAACTCAACAAACTACAACTCCCAGGAGTGCATTAACAGTGGCATCTACACTATAGAGCAGGCATGGGCCAACTTGGGCCCTCCAGGTGTTTTGGACTACAACTCCCACAATTCCTAACAGCCGGTAGGCTGTTAGGAATTGTGGGAGTTGTAGTCCAAAACACCTGGAGGGCCCAAGTTGGCCCATGCCTGCTGTAGAGCGAACCCAACGCTTCGTTGGGGTTTCTTCCAGAGCGGGGAGGCCCCTGGGAGCTCTGACACGCAAGTTGGGCGCGTTCACACGTGCAAGCGGCGTGCAAAAGGAGAGGCGGGGCGAGACCGCCTCCATGGCAACGCCCGGGTCCCCCAGGCTCCTTTTCCTCCCTTCCTACCCGGGTGGGATGCGCCCCAACACCGCCAGAGCCGCTCTCCTTCCGACACGGGTCTTCCTCCTCCGGGTTCGCTGTTAGTTACCTCGGGAGAGGAGGGGGCGTGGCTTCGCAACGGGCTGAACGAGCTGGCCAATCAGAGCCAAGGACGCGCGGGCACATGATTCGAGGAACAGTTCTCCGCTTGGCCGGCAGAGGGCGCCGGAGTGAGCCCGGATGATTGGCAGGCGGCAAAGCAGAGGCGAGGAAGGAGAGGCTAATCCCGGATCAACCTCGCGTTTAACGTGTGAATCGGGGTCAGGCAGCCAAAGGAGAAGCAGCCCAGCTCTCCCCTTCCTTCCCGATGCCGGGACGAGGCTGGGAAGCCCAACCAAACCAAAATCACAAGATCTGTTATAGAACTCCAATATGCTGATGATAATGTAGTCTGTGCACATTCAGAAGAAGACCTACAAACCACTCTAAAGCATGGAAATCCTCTATTGGACAGATGGCAAGCTGTTTAACCTCAGCAGACTGAAAACCAAAACTAAATCCTAACATCTGTTATAGAACTTCAATATGCCGATGATAATGTAGTCTGTGCACATTCAGAAGACCCAAAAGCCACTCTAAAGCATTCAAACAATGTATTGGATAGATGGCAAGCTGTTTAACCTCAGCAGACTCAAAACCAAAACCATAACAATAGCATGTCATAGAACTTCAATATGCCGATGATAATGGAGTCTGTGCACGTTCAGAAGAAGATCCCCAAGCCACTCTAAAGCATGGAAACCATCTATCGGATAGATTGCAAGTTGTTTAACCTCAGCAGACTGAAAACCAAAACTAAATCCTAACATCTGTTATAGAACTTCAATATGCTGATGATAATGTAGTCTGTGCACATTCAGAAGAAGACCTACAAGCCACTCTAAAGCATGGAAATCCTCTATCGGATAGATTGCAAGTTGTTTAACCTCAGCAGACTGAAAGCCAAAACCAAAATCACAATATCTGTTATAGAACTTCAATATGCCGATGATAATGTAGTCTGTGCACGTTCAGAAGAAGACCTACAAGCCACTCTAAAGCACGGAAATCCTCTATTTGATAGGTGGCAAGCTGTTTAACCTCAGCAGACTGAAAACCAAAACAAAATCATAACGTCTGTAATAGAACTCCAATATGCCGATGATAATGTAGTCTGTGCACATTCAGAAGAAGACCCACAAGCCACTCTAAAGCATGGAAACCATCTATTGGACAGGTGGCAAGTTGATTAACCTCAGCAGACTGGAAACCAAAACCACAACATCTGTTATAGAACTCCTATATGCCGATGATAATGTGGTCTGTGCACGTTCAGAAGAAGGCATACAAGCCACTCCAAAGCATGGAAACAATGTATTGGATAGATGGCAAGCTGTTTAACCGCAGCGGACTGAAAACCAAAACCAAAATCACAATATCTGTTATAAAACTCCAATATGCTGACGATAATGGAGTGTGTGCATGTTTAGAAGAAGACCCAAAAGCCACTGTAAAGTATTCGAGAAGCTCAGCAAGCTGTTTAACCTCAGCAGACTGAAAACCAAAACCACAACATCTGTTACAGAACTCCAATATGCTGATGATAATGTAGTCTGTGCACGTTCAGAAGAAGACCCACAAGCCAAACAACAACAAAACAACAACAACAACAACTTGGGAAGTGTCCGGTGTGTGATCCAATTCAACAGCCAGCATAGTGTCTGCTGTGGACTCATCTTGTTGTGTAAATAATAATAATAATAATAATAATAATAATAATATACGAAATCCAGCATATAAATCTCATTTGCTGTGACATTCTGTGTTTTTGTGTCAGAATAATAATAATAATAATAATAATAATAATAATAATAATAATAAATCAAATGGAACTCTGAAAAAGGAGACAAAGGAGAGCAGCCCAAGAGCAAGCCATTCAAACCAATGAAATCAAGGCCAGAATTGAAAAGTCGATGACAGATCCCAAGTGTAGACTGCAAGGAAGCAAATGAAACAATAGATCCCATCTTCAGCTGCTGCAAGAAGATCATGCAGACAGACTCCAAGCAGAGGCACAACACCCTTGCTCAGATGATTCTTTGGAGCTTCTGCCACAAACAGACCAGGTACTCCTGGTCAGTCGCAAGGCCGAACAGGGCATAGGGTTACAGCCTGTGTTGGATGGGGCCGCACTCCCCTGAAGACGCAGGTTCGCAGCTTGGGTGTGACCCTGGACTCATCGCTGAGCCTGGAACCCCAGGTTTCGGCGGTGACCAGGGGAGCATTCGCACAGCTAAAGCCTGTGCGCCAGCTGCGCCCGTACCTTGGGAAGTCTGACTTGGCCACGGTAGTCCACGCTCTGGTTACATCCCGTTTAGACTACTGCAACGCTCTCTACGTGGGGTTGCCTTTGAAGAGATCGGAAGCTCCAACTAGTCCAACGCTCGGCAGCCATGATTTTAACAGGAGCGGAGCGCAGGGAGCATACAACCCCCCTGTTGCGCCAACTCCACGGGCTACCGATCTGCTACCGGGCTGAATTCAAAGTGCTGGCGTTGGCCTTTAAAGCCCTAAACGGTTCCGGCCCAAGCTACCTATCTGACCGCATCTCTGCCTATGAACCCACCAGGAGTTTGAGATCTTCCGGGGAGACCCTGCTCTCGATCCCGCCTGCTTCTCAAGCTCGGCTGGCGGGGACGAGAGATAGGGCCTTCTCGGTGGTGGCTCCTCGGCTGTGGAACGCCCTTCCTACGGACATTAGACTGGCACCATCTCTAAAAGGTGAAGACCTGGATGTTTGTGCAGGCGTTCGAATAATGAGTGCAATCTGGTAATGGAACATAGGAATGGAACAATGGACGACGAACCTGGACTACGCTTGGATGATGAGAAGATTGGGTACGGTTGTTTTTTGTAATAATTGTGCATTGTAATTGCTTATTGGTAATTTATGGACAATGTGTTAAGTCAATTGTTATATGTTGTATGGAACCACTGCTGTTTCTACTGTTTTTACTGTTTGTGAACCGCTGTGAGTCGCCTTCGGGCTTGAGATACAGCGGTATATAAGCAAAGTAAATACATAAATAAAGTAAATAAACACCATGTGCCTGCGACAAAGAATGGGTGGGATCACAAGCCAGAAAACGTTAAGGAAAATGATCACGTCAAACTCCTCTGGGACTTCCGGATTCAGACAGACAGAGTTTTGGAGCACAACACCCCTGACCTCACCATCGTGTTAAAAAACAAAGTATGGATTGCCGATGTCGCAATCCCAGGTGAGAGCAGGACTGCAATGAAACAACTGGAAAAGCTGACACGAGATGAGGATTCAAAGATTGAACTGCAAAGACTAGCAGAAACCAGTCAAGGTGATCGGCACACTGGGTGCAGTGCCTCAAGACCTTGGCCTGCACTTTTTAATTCTGTACCCTTTTACTCGGGCCCGGCCCAGTTTTATCTTGTTGATGTACTGTTTATTGCTTGTGGTTTGTTGTTTTAATACTGCTTTAATTGTTTTAATTTTGCTTTAAGTGTATTGGGGCCTTGGCCTTTGTAAGCCGCATCGAGTCCTTCGGGAGATGCTAGCGGGGTACAAATAAAGTTTAATAATAATAATAATAATAAATAATAAACACAATCAGTGCTGACAAAATTACCATCTGCCAGCTGCCAAAGGCCACCTTACTGGAATCTCATCGCATCATTCGACGATACATCACACCAGTCCTACACTTGGATAGCAATCTTTTCGAGGCTTCAGTGGTGGATTTCTAGGTTCTTGTGGGTTTTTTTCGGGCTATAGAGCCATGTTCTAGAGGCATTGCTCCTGACGTTTCGCCTGCATCTATGGCAAGCATCCTCAGAGGTAGTGAGGTCTGTTGGAATTAGGACAATGGGTTTATATATCTGTGGAATGGCTGGGTTGGGGCAAAGAGCTCTTCTCTGCTGCAGTTGGGTGTGAATGTTTAGCTGATCGCCTTCATTAGCATTTGAAGGCCTGCCTGAGCCTGGGAAAATCTGTTGCTGGGAGGTGTTAATCTGTGCCTGGTATTAAAAAACTCTAAAATTATAACAGCTAAACAAAAGAGAGGAAAAAACCAGGCACAGATTAACACCTCCCAGCAACAGATTTTCCCAGACTCAGGCAGGCCTTCAAATGCTAATGAAGGTGATCAGCTAAACATTCACACCTAACTGCAGCAGGGAAGAGCGCCTTGCCCCACCCCAGCCATTCCACAGATATATAAACCCATTGTCCTAATTCCAACAGACCTCACTACCTCTGAGGATGCTTGCCATAGATGCAGGCGAAACGTCAGGAGAAATGCCTCTAGAACATGGCCCTATAGCCCGAAAAAACCTACAAGAACCTACTTGGGAAGGGTCCGACGTGTGATGCAATGTAACAACCAGCAGAGTGTCTGCTGTGGAGTCATCTTGTTGTGTTTCAAATAATACTAACAATGAAAATAATAATATACAAAATCCAGCATATAAATCTCATTTGCTGTGAGAGTCTGTGTTTTTGTGTCAGTAAAATATAATAATAATAATAATAATAATAATAATAATAATAACAACAACAACTTGGAAAGTGTCCGACGTGTGATCCAATATAACAACCAGCAGAGTGTCTGCTGTGGACTCATCTTGTTGTGTTTAATAATAATAATAATAATGATAATAATAATAAATGAAATCCAGCATATAAATCTCATTTGCTGTGAGAGTCTGTATTTTTGTGTGAGTAATAATAGTAATAATAATAATAATAATAATCCAGCATATAGATCTCGTTTGCTGTGACATACTGTGCTTTTGTGTCAGTAAAAATAATTATTTATTTATTTTATTTTTATTTATTTATCGTGTCAGGGGCAACCAGACCAGAATAATAATAATATTATAATATAAATAATAATATAATATAATATAAATAAATATAATAATAGTCTCCAAAGCAGGGTCTCCCCAAGGAAAGCCGGATCCGGCTCCAGTTGCTGGGCCCTCTGTGTGCGTGTCTGCTTCTCCATCTACCTTTTCTCACTCTCCTCCCTTAATGGAGAGCATAATCCTCATTAACTCATTAACCACCAAATCCCCAGGAAAGCAGGCAGGTGAAAGGGGGGTGGGGCGGGAGG